TCACTATGAATTAAAAATTGACTTGATGACACCTGACAACAACAACTGATGTACAAGGCTTTAGGCTGGCATTTGGGAAGGAGACAGGATGCAAAATTAACAAGTACAGCAAGTTTGATCTTGCAAAAATGCAGCTGAACGAGGAGTCAAGGAAGAGGTGAAAAAGTACAGGGCTTTATTCAGAAACAATAAGCATGCAAGTTTGAAGTAAGGGGAGATGAAGGTAAATATTGGCAGGTAAGACTAGAAAGGGGAGCCGGAGCCGGGCTCTACGGGACCTGAACGCCACACTAAAGAATTGGAACTTTAGTTTGTAGCCAACAAGGTGTGGCACAATATTCAAGTTCCTACTGGAACAGTTCAGATAACAGGATACCACCCAGAAGTATGGGGATTTTAAAATGTGGGCAGATAGAAGAAGCACTGCAGAAAAAGAATGGACAGAATCTGGCTATCAGATGCAAGAGGAGAGGCAAGAATTGAGGATGACCAAGGTTTTCAGTGACTGCATTAAGAGAAAACAAACTGAAGGGAGGAACAGAGTAAGCAAGATAATGAGCATAGGTCTTATTTGGAAGAAACTCACATAGGATGGGACCTGAAGAGAGCATTTCTAAACGCCTAGAGGTGGGCATTTGCAATTTCTAACTGTGCTTTCCAAACTGAAACAAAAAAAAAGTCGCCATCTCGTTGACTTCAACTTATGGCAACTCTGTGTGTGTCAGAGTAGAACTGTACTCCATAGGGTATTCAACGGCTGATTTTTCAGAAGTAGATCTCCAGGCCTTTCTTCTGAGGTGCCTGTGGGTGGACTTGAACCTCAAACCTTTCGGTTAGCAGCCAAGTGTGTTAACTGTATGCACCACTGAGGGGTCCCAAAGGAAAGAGACCCTAAATAATTTAGCACTCCTTAGGTCCTGTTTGACTTTCCAGGAAGCAAATACTCATTTACAGATGGAAGAAGGGAAAAGTCAAGAAAGATGTCTAATCCTGTACCAAGAAACAATAATGAAAATAAAAATAAAAATATCCAGATCCTCATCCACTTAGACATAGACTTTGTTTGAATCCTCATCATCAGCATTCCAAACACATAAAGCCTCTTCTCATTCACATTTGCTAGCTTCAGTTCACATAGCATCAACTAGTGAAGTCTATAAAATTGTTACAGTATATTTTAAGCAGCAAAGAAAAACACACAAGTCAGCTAGCTTCTATGTTCCAACACCGTCTTTCCTCTAATAAATACTGACACCTCGCTCTTCCTGAACTGCTCCGCTTTCTAACTGAATGCTGTGGGTCACCTCTCTTGCCCTAGACTCCCACTGCAGATTTCCAAAACAAACTTTTCAGAAGAGGAAAAAAAAAAAAAATTTCAGGGGATTCTCTTGTAGAGAAACAAACACCAGGTTAAATGGGACAAAGAAGGAAAGTGGAGAGAGTAAAAACAAGAGGAAGAAATGAACACAGTTCTCTTTTGTTTAAATAAACAAAGTGACCCAAAATAAATTCATTTGCTTAGGAGCCTGCACACCTTCCCACAGGTGGAGGTGATGGGGAATATTTTATCTGCAGGATAAACAGAAGCAAATTCATTTTCTCACTGCTAAAAGGTTATGTTGGTCACACAGATTTTACTTATTCATACTGACAGAGCAAGGTCCCAGAACCTTTGAGAGGCAGACAGAAAGGAAGGAGGAAGGGAGGGAAAGGCACGAAATCAACCACTCCAAAGGCTATTTTTCCAGCATTCTCTCTGGCTTCTACCCTGGTAATCTAGGTTACCCTTTAGACTACCCTGAGATATAAATAGCATTCATTTCCTTTCTCAGGCCAGACAGACTTTAATGATTTGTTTCCTGGGTCTAGGGGAACAAATACTCATAACACTCTCCATTCTAAATTTGCGTTCCTACAAAACTGGCTCGCTTTGAATCAAGGAGGGAACAAGAAAACCACTTCAAAAGACCAAAATTTGTTTGCTATTACCATTTTGTTAAATTAGCTCAAACAGAACAGCCCAGTGGGACTTCTGAGTAGCTGTTTCCTTTCTAGTGCATAGCTCAGAATCCTCCAGAACACAGCTCCAGGTCTTTCCATGTGCCTAGGCTGAAATCCAGGTGAACATTTTACACAACAACATGGCTGAGTGCTGAGCCCTATGCAGGATACTCCAGAGGGTTTTCTGGATAAGGGCACCTTCAGTTGCTAGATACAAATTATGAGGCATTTCTTCAAATCAGACCCCATTCTTTTAAAGAAAGAAAGAGCTACATAAAGAACAGTTAAAAGAGTAAAGAAACAGAAATGGCCCTGCCTACAATAGCTGCCTGTCTAAGGCCAGTGCATGGTCTTTGCAGCTGAAGAAGCCCAGAGGATCAGGTGAACAAGGTGGCACACAACCACAGCATTACATCTCACTTCATCATCACAACTTAGCTCAAAGACACCAGTCTGAACCTGAAGACGTTTCTGCTATAATCCCTACCAAGCTCACCCTGTTGTTGCTGTTGTTGTCATTGATTCCAACTCAGGAGACACCAAGTGTGCAGAACTGAACTGTTCCATAGGGTTTTCAAGGCTGTAATCTTTCAGAAGCAGATTGCCAGGACTGCTTTCCAAGGCACACCTCTGGATGGGTGCAAACCACCAACCTTTTGCTTAGTAGTCAAGCACTTAACCCTCTGTACCACCCAGGGATTCCTAGGCTCGCTCTAACACCCCTGAATTCAGCAGAGACAAGCCAAAGAAAGGAATGGACATTTTGGAGAGAAGAATCAAAAGCAGAGCATTTCTTTCTCTACCAAAGTATCAAGACCAGATTCACCTTGACCCCAAAATACCTAGACCTTTAAGGTGCTTTTGCCTTAGGCTCACACCACAGGACCACTGTCCTGGTAGGCCAGCTCTATACTCTACCTCTATTGAGGGACTGTCAGACCCCTCCCTATCAGACTGCTGCTGAGGGGAGCCTTGCTTCTCCTGCTGTGCATCACAAACCACATTCTAAGTAGAACTGGGTTGCTTACCCAGGTTATCGGGAAGCGGGTATTTTGATCATATGTATATAGAAAGAACCAAATCCACTATCTGTCTCCTTTGGGGCCTGGATCATCCTAAACATCCAGAGGCAGCCCAGAGGAGCTGTTGTAGAAGAGGTACCTCTCCTTTGAGGTCAGAGAAACTTGAAACAGTCATGACCCGGACAGGCCTAGGGCCTTGGTATCATTTCTTAACAAGTTTAGCAGAAGCAACTTAACAATTAATAATGTAGCTCCATTTACTATAAATATTCTGATGGGGACACATTCTTTTAAACTAAAAACCAAAATCTTGACAATAATTCCTCACCAGATGTGACTTGCTTTTTTTTTTTTTTTTTTTTAGCTTTTGCTTTTTAAAAGGAGATGAAAGATTCTGAGACTCCTGTGTATTTTTCTCACCTGGGGGCAGAGTGTTGTTGTGCGCTGTCCAGACCATTTTCGACTCACATTGACCCCATGTGACAGAGTAGAAATGCTCCATAGGGTATTCTAGGCTGTAATCTTTATGGGAGCAGATCACCAGGTCTTTCTCCCTCAAAGCTACTGGGTCGGTTCGAATGGACAACCCTTTGGTTAGCAACAGATGGCTTAACCATTGCGCCACCAGGGGCAGGTAACTGGCTTCAAAGCTGGCCTAACCTCTCATGAAAGATCTCTTTTTACTGGCTGGCTAAAAAGATAGAACCTACCTCCTTATGCTGCCATTGGGCCTGTCCTCCACCAATGTCTGGATTCTGGAAGCTTCTTGTGAAGGAGCAAGTGGAGGATATGCTCTTGATCTTAAACTCTCACCCACCCAACCACAGTCTAGAATGTCATGGAAACTGAAGCAATAGCTGTCTCAAGATCAGCACCTCAAGTGAGTTCTGAGATAAGCCCCAGACAGGTGCAAACCAAACTGTCAGCACCATCAGGCACTTCAATGGCTTCTTGTGGTGGCTGTAACGAACGAAAAGCCTAAGCACTGAGGAAGTCCTTTGCTCATCTAGTTCCCTTTCATTTTACAAACACTTGTACAGTATGGCTCCCCACCCCCTTCATAGTTTCCAAGCCTTGTAAAAGCAAGTGGAGTGCCGGCACCACTTTACACAGCTCTTTAACAGGCTCTTCATCTCTAGCAAGTGGCTGAGAAAAAGGGCACACCTGGGTACTAGTGGTCATGCCAAAGCTTGCACATAACTAGAGCTGCATAGGCACACACATGGGAAAAATACACCAGGGAGCCCTCGCAGGAAACCTTGGAACTGAACAGAAAAGACAGGTCTGTGTCTCCTCCCAAAGCACTGGACTGACCCAAATTTCAGCCCTGGGCCTCTCACTCTCCAAAAAACAAACTCCTGCTCAACAATTGGCCTTTTGTGCTGCACAACATTTTGCAGCAAGGACTAGGTGGAAAAAAACCTAGTGCCTTTCACCTGTAACCTCACCCTCGACTCCAGGACTAGGGTGGACATGACTTCCCCGGAATCCAGGTAAATTAAAGCACAGTCCAATCTATTACAGGGGCAGAGGACAGACAAGAGTCAGACAGCCCCAGCATACACACCATACTTCACCCAAAGGTATGCCTGCACTCACACACCCACACCCCCCCAACACACGCCAAACTTAGGAGGCCAAGGCAGAAGGCCAAGCTCAGTCGGAGAAACTGAGGCTCTGAAAGGGGCAGTGACTGGCCCCTGGTGACAATGCGACTCAGGAACAGAGCTCTGACTAAGTCCCAGCCTCTGGATGCTAAGTACCCCCCTCCCCACCTGCCTGCCCTCACCACGCCCGGCTGAGAATAACTAACATCCCCAATCAAACTTCAGCCCGTTTCCCCGCCTCGGTTGGGTCAGGACCTTGGTCTTCGCCCCTGCGGCCACCGGCCTAAACCCAGACCCTGCCCTCTCGTGGGCCTGGCCCACCGCCGCTCCCGCCTAAATCTGCAGCCCAGATCCCCACAGCCCGGCCGACCTGCAGAGTCGCGCTCCCGAGAGCCGGGGACGGCGGACATTTCCTTGCCAGGTTCCTCCAGCTCTTCATCCTGCGGCCCGGCCCGGCCCACCCGCTCCGCCCCCAGAGGGTCCCGCCCCCGCACGCCGCCTCGACCAATCGAAGGCTCTTCTGCTCCATGGCCTCGCCCCAAACAGAACCGAGCCCGCCCCTTGCAGCCGGGCCTCCTCCAATCCCCACCGCCCCTTCCAAGACGGATATCTGCCTCCGCCAATTCTCGCTCACCCTGGCCAGGTACCTGGGGTTGAATTCCAACGCCGCGGTATCAGCAACTCCGACGATTCCGGCTTCAGATCTGAGCACCTGTATCGAGACAGCCACAGGAACTCAGGGTTCCGGGTCGCAGCATCGAAGCCTGTGGCAGGAATATGGAGGGAAAACTGAGCTGGAGGCTTCAGGAACCGATTCCACTTCTGAATGATTGTATGACTGTGAGCAAATCACTCAGCCTCCCCTGGGAGTCTGCAAGCCTGTTTCCGTATCCTACAGGGTGGTTCTGCGAAAGAAAAATTGCTATTCCAAAGAGGAGGATATGGAATGTGTGGCTAATTGCCTCCATGAACAACTGCCTCCTTTGCCATAAGACTAGAAGAACTAGATGGTGCCCGGCTACCATTACTGAACATTTTGATCAAAGATTCCATAGAAGAATCCTGGTCAAAAGGAAGAAAATGCAGAACAGAATTTCAAATTCTCATGGATTCCAGACTTTCTGAAGCCAAGGGAGATGGATGAAACTATTGCCCTGAGATAATGTTTAAAACTTAAACCAAAATATCCCCTGAAGTCTTCTTAAAACCAAACAATAGCTTAACTACTAAAAAGTGTCTGCCTTGAGCATTTTGCTCTTTTAAGAACTATCTATGTGGGATCAAAGAGACAAGAGCAACTCAGAAGATTAGATAGGAACCTTAGGGGGCAGTAAGTTATTGAGGAGGAACAACTCAGAAAAGGAGGGTGAGAATGATTGCACAACACAAAGAATGTAATCAATGTCACTGAATTGTACCTGTAGAAATGGTTGAATTGGTGTATACTTTGCTGTATACATTCTCAACAATAACAACAAAATAAAAATTTTTTAAAAGATTTTTTTAAAAGCCCAAAACAAAAAGCATTTCTGAGGCCAACGTTTCAGACAAAGATGAGACTGGACTATGGGACATAAAATGATACTCGTGAAGAGTGTGCTTCTTAGCTCAAGTAGATACATGAGACCAAATGGGCAGCTCCTGTCCAGAGGCAAGATGAGAAGGCAGGTGGGGTCAGGAGCTGGTTGAATGGACACGGGAAATCTCAGGTGGAAAGGAGTCATGTGCTGTCACAGTATAGGGAGAGCAATTAGGGTTACATAACAATGTATGTATAAATTTTTGTATGAAGAGACTAACTTGAATTGTAAACTTTTACTTAAAGCACAGTGAGAAAAATTTTTTTAAGAAAGGATTTAAAAAATAATGCTATTCCAAGACACATATTCCACCACCACCCCCACACACACACCCATTCTTCTGACCTCATAGGAACAATGTGCCAAGGTCTGTGCTTTATGTATTTTATCCCTTTTAACCCTCATAACGAGTTTTCTGGGGTTGTTGTTGTTAGGTGCCATCGAGTCGGTTCCTACTCATAGCAACTCTGTGTACAACAGAAGGAAACACTGCCTGGTCCTGTGCCATCCTCACAATCTTTGCTATGTTTGAGCCCATTGTTCCAGCCACTGTGTCAATCCAACTCCTTGAGGGTCTTCTTTTTCGCTGACCCTCTACCAAGCATGACGTCCTCCTCCAGGGACTGGTCCCTCCTGAGAACATGTCCAAAGTCTGTGAGATGAAGTCTCGCCATCCTTGCTTCCAAGGAGCACTCTAGCTGTATTTCTTCCAAGACAGACCTGTTCATTCTTCTGGCAGTGTGTGGTATATTCAGTATTTTTCACTAACACCATAATTCAAAGGCAGCAATTCTTCTTCCGTCTTCCCTATTCATTGTCCAGCTTTCACATGCATATAAGGCAACTGAAAAATATTATAGCTTGGGTCAGGTGCTTAGTCCTCAAAGTGACATCTTTGCTTTTTAACACATTGGAGAGGCCTTTTGCAGCTGATTTGCCCAATGCAATAAAAAAATAAAATAAAATAAAAAAACCTGCTGCTTTCAAGTCAATTCTGACTCATAGCGACCTTATAGGACAGAGTAGAACTGCCCCACACAGTTTCCAAGGATCGCCTGGTGGATTCGAACTGCCAACCTTTTGGTTAATAGCTGTAGCTCTTAACCACTAAAATACGTTGTTTTATTTCTTGACTGTTGCTTCCATGGGCCTTGACTGTGGATCCAGGTAAAATGAAATCCTTGTCAACGTCAATCTTTTCTCCATTTATCATGACGTTGCTCATTGTCCGGTTGTGAGGATTTTTGTTTTCTTCACGTTGAGGTGTAATCCATGCTGAAGTCTTTGATTTCATCAGGAAGTGCTTCAAATCGTCTTCACTTTCAGCAAGCAAGATTGTGTCATCTGCCTATCACAGGTTGTTAATGAGACTTCCAGCAATCCTGATGCCACGTTCTTCTTCATATAGTCCAGCTTCTCAGATTATTTGCTCAGCATACAGATTGAATAAGTATGGTGAAAGGATATAACCCTGACACACACCTTTCCTGACTTTAAACCACACAGTAACCCCTTGTTCTGTTTGAACAACTGCCTTTTGGTCTATGCACAGGTTCCATATTAGCACAATGAAGTGTTCTGGAACTCCCATTCTTCACGAGGTTATCCATAATTTGTTAGGATCCACACAGTTGAATGCCTTTGCATAGTCAATGAAACACAGGTAAACATCTTTCTGGTATTCTCTGCTTTTAGCCAAGATCCATCTGACATCAGCAATGATATCCCTCATTCCACGTCCTCTTCTGAAGCTGGCTTGAATTTCTGACAGTTCTCTGTCGATGTACTGCTGCAACCTTTTTTGAATGAGCTTCAGCAAAATTTTACTTGCATGTGATATTAATGATATTGTTTGATAATTTCCGCATTCTGTTGGAACACCTTTCTTTGCAATGGGCACAAATATGCATCTCTTCCAGTCAGTTGGCCAGGTAGTTGTCTTCCAAATTTCTTGACATAGGTGAGTGAGCACCTCCAGCACCGCATCCCTGTGTTGAAACATCTCAGTTGGTGTTCCGTCAATTCCTGCAGCTTTGTTTTTCACCAATGCCTTCAGTGCAGCTTGGACTTCTTCTTTCAATACCATCAGTTCTTGATTATATGCTGTCTCCTGAAAAGGTTGAACATCAACCAATTTTTTTTGGTACAGTGACTCTGTGTATTCCTTCCCTCTTCTTTGGATGCTTCCTGAGTCATTCAATATTTTGCCCATAGACTCCTTCAAAATTGCAACTTGAGGCTTGAATTTTTCCTTCAGTCCTTTCAGCTTGAGAAATGCCAAGCGTATTCTTCCCTTTTGGTTTTCTAACTCCAGGTCTTTGCACATTTCATTATAATATTTTACTTTGTCTTCCTGAGTCGCCCTTTGAAATCTTCGGTTCAGCTCTTTTACTTCTTCATTTCTTCCATTTGCTTTAGTTACTCGACGTTCAAGAACAAGTTTCACAATCTCTTCTGACATCCATTTTGGTCTTCTCTTTCTTTCCTGTCTTTTTAATGACCTTTTGCTTTCTTCATGTATGATGTCCTTGGTGTCATCCCACAACTCGTCTGGTCTTCGGTCATTAGTGTTCAATGTGTCAATTCTATTCTTGAGATGGTCTCCAAAATCAGGTGGGATATAGTCAAGGTCTTATTTTGGCTCTCGTGGGCTTGTTTTAATTTTCATCAGCTTCAACTTGAACTTGCATATGAGCAATTGGTGGTCTGTTCCACAGTTGGCCCTGGCCTGGTTCTCGCAGGTGATATTGAGCGTTTCCATCTTTCCACAGATGTAGTCAATTTGATTCCTGTGTTTAGTGAGGTCCACGTGTATAGTTGCTGTTTATGTTGTTAAAAAAAAGGTATTTGCAATGAATAAGTTGTTGGTCTTGCAAAACACTATCATGGGGTGTCATTTCTATCACCAAGGCCATATTTTCCAGTTACTGGTCCTTCATCTTTGTGTGCTTCCAGTTTTCTCATTCCAATCACCAGTAATTATCAATGCATCTTGATTGCATGTTTGATCAATTCAGACTGCAGAAGCTGAAAAAAATCTTCAATTTTCTCATCTTTGGCATTAGTGGTTTGTACATATATTTGAATAATAGTCATATTAACTGATCTTCCTTGTAGGTGTATGGATATTATCCTATCACTGACAGCATTGGACTTCAGGATAGATCTTGAAATGTCTTTCTGATGATGAACGGGACACCATTCCTCTTCAATTTGTCATTCCCAGCATAGTAGACCATATGATTTTCTGATTCAAAATGGCCAATACCAGTCCATTTTTAAGGGGTAGGGAACTATTACCCCAATTTTATATATGAAGCAACTGAACTCAGAAAGGTTAACTATCCAAGGTCACAGAGCAAATGGCAGAGTGGGGACTCAAACCAAAGTCAGTACCAAGGAGTGGGGAGAGGTTTCTAACTACCTGTAATCTCCATCTAGGGAGTCCCTGAGTGGTACAAACAGTTAAGTCCTAGGCTGCTAACCAAAAGACTGGAATTCCAAGTCTACCCAGAGACTCCTTGGAGGAAAGGTCTGGTCATCTACTTCTAAAAAGTCAGCCAAAGTAGAAGGGGGCACAGTTCTACTCTGAGCCACATGGAGTCACCATGAGTCAGTCAATTCTACTGGTTCAACCTCCATCAGCAACTCACAAACCACCCCAGATAAACACACTTCTAAGTAAAAGCAGTGTGCTTGCTATGAAACATATGTTCAAGACAAGTCCTCTTGTTCTCTCTTCCAATGAGATTGCCCCTCCTGAGCCTCTCCTTTCTAGAAGGTCTTGAGACACCTCTGCCTCTGACTCAAACCCAGGTGCGTCTGACTCCAAAACATTTGTTATTAA